ATCCGCCCCAGCTTATTTTAAATAGTAAGATAGCATACCGACCACTAGCGATAATACTACTTTGCGCTGTATCGGTAAAACTGGAGATACTGTCTTTGAGAGCATGCGTTCTTTAAATCAAACATATAATGTGTTTAGGTTATGTGATGCGAGTATAATCTAATATGTTAGGAACATGTAATTTCAAAATACCTGATTTTAAAATACAATTTATTTAGGTGAAGTAATGCAAGTATTAGGTTATATACATAGGAGAAGGTAATATCACCATATTGTGAAGATATCATATTCAATGTATATAACATACAATATTCCATCTCTTACTTTACTATATTTTATCGCAAAATCTGAAGTTAAAAATACTGTCACGGAATATACAATCTATAATAAACATTGCTCGTTCCTGGTGTTCTGTTTCAATATTCCATTCCTGAAAAATATATTTAACATAGACCGTATTATTGAATGGCCACAGATTAAAAAGTATCTCATTCGCCATCCAGCACGCCAAAAAAAAAAAAAAAATAATAATAATAATCAGAAGAGGGTATCTCTGGCAGTCTATAGTCATGTGCGATATTATTTCTATATCAAAATCGTGACATCAGACACTTTAAAAGAATAAAAAGAACTCAGATTCCACCTGGAGCTCGAATCACCACAATGCCTTCATCAAGTGGTATGACATTTGCCATGTATGCTAAAAGGCCCGGTTGAAGTCAGGGTGGAGACCGACTTTTTTTTCTTTCTTTGTCAGGTTCTTCTGTTTCGTTTCAATATAGACAGTAAATGTATTCTGGTAATGTATTCTCCTGCATTGTTTTATTTTATCTAATTTTCCCCTTGTTTGCACTTTTGTCTGAATGATTATATTACTTTAACATATTTTATATATGCTAGAAATATATTTTTAGTATATATTTATATTTAAGTCGGTGTTCGGCTTTGATTAGTTTTCTGTAAAGATACCTTATCAACCTTTGTCAATTTATTGATTTTTATCTATTAATCTGTTCTGTTGCCAATGAATTTAAAGTAGGCTATATAAACATAGGATATTTCTCAATATAAAAACAATTGATTCAATACACACCTCTTTCAAATCACCAGCTAAAGCGGTATATTTTTGTTCCGATGGTTGAGGAATTTTATGAAAGGCATTGATGACATCAGTAATTAACATCGTGCAATTGAGTCCTTTAGAGCAAGGCAATTCAACTAATGAACTCATCAACATCCTCAACAATTGCCTGGTCCCAACTCTTAAGTGCTGCCTTCCTGATTTAAATCCACATAAATCATTCTGTAGGTTAGCCTATAGAATAAGAATGTCAGACATTTTTTTAGAATGGGGGTTTCTGATGCGAGTTGGTAGTATCAGATATATACACTCCTAATGCAATTTTATAACTTTCTTCAATCAATAACTTATATAGTGATAATTTTGGCAACATTTAATTCTAAGCTGTGATTGTCCCAGAAGAGATACAAATAAAAGAAGTCTAATAATTATAAATTTCCCTAACAAATCGTTTACTGTGTTTCAGCCCCGTTCTGCTGAGAAATTTAACCGTGTTTTTAAATAATTGTTTAAATAAATAACCAGTTAAAATCTTGCTTTTGGAAATATACTGAGAATGTTCACTCATAAACAGTTAATAAATATTTACTAATAAGGAAACTGAGTAGGCTTAGTATGTGGTTTGAAGTTGTCACCATGTACCTGATGTACACTGCCCCACCATGACAAAAGGAAGTAACTGACAATTTTTTAAAAACGAGTTTTTTAAGTCACTATCAAGGAACTAATAATTTGAAATATATTGATATATTTGAGTATGTTCAAATCCCACTCATTAACAAGTAATTATCAACACGAAAAGAAGTAAGAGACTAAAAATACAGTAAAAAACACCGAAAAAGGAAGCAGGGGACATATCGGAAGGCGGGGAGGAAGCACAGCCGGTCGGACGGGTACAGGTAGCACATGGAGGAAAACGAAAACTGAATTCAAGTTTAAAAGTGTCATTTTTGGTCATCAACAGGTGCCACAGACAAAATAGAGATATATTGGCCTTAAATCGCTGTTAATAGAGATATATATCTCTATTATTGTTAATTATATATCTCTACTTGCTATTAAATGACATTTCGACCCCTTTTTCACGTTCACCTAAATCCTCCTGATATCATTGTGATTGTTTTTTTTCGAATAGGGGCAGGTGGGTAAGTATAAGATAGATACTCCTAATTCAGTTTTATTCTTCAATCAAATATTCAGTGATAGTTTTATTCAACATTTTATTTTAAGCTTTGGTGGTTCCAGAAAAAATACACATAAAAGTTATTATTAACTGCGTTTCATTATGGTTTCTGAATAACTGTTTAAATAACTAACCAGTTAAAACCTTACTTTTTGAAAATACTGAAAATATTCCGTTTCATAAGTAGTTATTAAATATTTACTTATAAAAAAACTTCAGCTCCCCGTATTTCTCGACTGAGACGTCAGTGGGAGCTGTAATTTGTATGGCAAGGAGATTGTGCAACCCTTCATTCGTATTAAGGGAATTTACGCCCATAAACTTTGTAGTTATTAATATTTTGGTTATAATAGGAAATATTCATTTTTTGGTAACGTCACACTCACATTAGTTAGTATGCATATGTCATAAGCTATACGTCACCTTTTCCTGGTAAGGCAAACTTTCCCGGTGGCGTGCTTTTTTCATGGATAAACAAACGCCACTGCTTTGCACATGGATGCCTTGCCCAAGCCAGGGCTACAAGAGCCGCATTGTTAGCATTGTATAATACTTAAACAAGGTATCTCTGCAAATTAATTATTCTTAGTTATTTTTGTTTTCTTATTTTAATTTATTTCTTCCGAAAGTGTACTCTCTATCACATATAATTCCACTGTCTTAGTTAGGCCTAGTCTTATGCCTCATCGTCCCCCGCTACACAGTACATCAACAGCCCCTCTCCCATACAGTACAGACGTTTGCTAGGTAACAACGTGATTGCACCTTCCTTCCCAGGTGTTCATGTAACATTGACATAATTGTTAGCTAACCAGTTGTGTGTATTTCTTTGTGAAAATGAGTACCGCGGCGTACTCATTTTCACAAAGCATTTGCATCCCCTCTTGGAAAGTGGGATTTGAAATAATTGT